TGGCTCAGTAGGCACAGCAGATGTCACAGGCACCTGGTGAAGGACTGGTCCCTGTAGAGTCTTGATCTTGGCTCAGCTCAGAATCTCCAGCGATTGGGCTCCTCTTGGCCTTTGTCCCCAGGAACATGTTCCTCACCAGCTGTCCAGGTGACTCTTCCCTTCCCTCTCCTTTTATGACAAAGCTCTGACAAAGCTCTGTCCCCCTCTCGTCCCTCTGGACGAATGTTGCTCCCCTAGATTGCCCGTGAGGCAGAGGCCGCCATCTACCACTTGCAATTATTTGAGGAACTCCGCCGTCTGGCCCCCATTACCAGCGACCCCACAGAAGCCACCGCCGTGGGTGCCGTGGAGGCCTCCTTCAAGTGCTGCAGTGGGGCCATAATCGTCCTCACCAAGTCTGGCAGGTAGGAGGCGGCAGCAGCTCCCCAGGATGTCCTGCTCAGTGGCACTTCTCCTTGGGGGCCCTGGGAGCAGTGCACTGAACAGCGCTCGGGTGGCGCTGAGCCAAGGTAAGACCCCTCTGCCTGCCACCTGGACCTGCAGGGCAGGAGTGAGCAGAGCCCCTTCCCTGGGCCCAACGGACTCCAGGCAGCACTCATAAGGAGCGTCAGAACATTTGGATCAAAAACAAGTTTACACTGGAGATTTATTACATAATAGTGCACAGGCTGACTACACATGGTTATTTGATATTAAAAATCTAGTCCTCTAAAATAGTAAAAGATAACCACTTTTGCTTGTTCCAGTTACTATGTTCTCTTTAAAAATTCCGTTGGCAAGATGAATTTAAATGCTGCTTACTGTGTGTCCATTGGGCACTCTAGTCCTTCCTGTTTTTGAGCTCTCAAGACAGCTGGGTTCCAGCTCGGGTGAGGTTGCTGTGCTATCTTGGCTGACATTCTGTAGGGCCAGGCAGCCAGGCTGAGGACTGTGTGGCCTGTGCTGGGCTTCCAGCTTGGGATCCCTTCCTTGCCCAGGACATTGAGTTAATGTCCTTCACTCTCCTGGTCAGGGAGTGTGCTCCTTGTCACTGCCCATAGGGCAGCGAGGGTTTCCTGGAAGAGAGAGGAGCAAACAGGCAGTGCCCACGCACTGAGGAGCAGCAGACAGGCGTGGGCAGCCCAGAGAACCAGGACACAAGTGCTGTGCAGATAATCTCAGCAGAAGGCTCCAGCCTCTCAGTCTTGGCCGAACAGCCCCAACCAGTAGGGTTGACCTTTCTTAAAAGGTCTAGTTCTTGCTCTTTGGCTATTTTAAGCTCTAGTCTTCTGGGGTTTCACTTAGCTGGTCCTGGCCTCAGCAGTTGCTTCCCTCTGAAGGCCTTGCATAGAGGCCAAGCGTGACATGCAGGGACTTCTCTGCTGTGATGTCGCTTAAGTTTCCCTGACACCTCTTGAGTGTCCTCATAACTTCCCTTCAGGTGCCCCTTCCCAGCTCCTCAGACACATCTGCAGCTACAAGTGTGCAGTGTCAGTGTTCAAGAAAGTGCCTGGCAGAGGGGCTTCAAAAGGGTCCCCTGCCTTCCAGAGGAGGTTTGGCAGGCAGAGCTGCCCCCGCACCAACATTCGCATTTCCTGTTCTTGCCTGCTGAGTAGCACCTAGATTTCTAAGCTTCACTTACTCAGATTTGACTCTGGGCCCTTATAGCCCAGTTGCTAGGGCTGTCTCAGGAGCTAAGGGCCATGCCAGGCAGGGAGAAGGCACATAAGTAGAGAAGCCTGATATTGATTCCTTAGGGGGCGGGGTGAGCTCTGCTCGTGCTCTTTGCAGATGTCAGGAGTCAGGTGCTACGCACATGCTGCTTGGCTTGTAGTTGTCACTGGCAGCAAGAAGAATGAGTGCTGTGACATTGGGCCAGGGCTGCCTCTCTGTGTCAGAGTTCAGGGTTTAGGAGGGGTTCTGCCAACCCTGGGCTGTGATGTAAGTGGGTGAGGCTGACCTTGCCCAGGTCAAGATGATCCTGGGCCCCTGGCCTGTGGAATAGGGGTAGAGGCCAAATGGTAGCTTAGCATGCAGTAGAAGATATAAGATGAGGGGCTGCCCAAGCCTTGGGAGGGGTCCTAGGGAGCAGATATTGAAGTGGCCAGAGCCCTCAGGCTGGCACAGTGAGCGGGATGAGAGGGTGAGCTGTTGGAACACCCTGAGGTGCTTCCTGGGGCCCCGTGTAATGGTCTCTTCTGTCTGTCTGTCCCCCTTTCCATCTCAGGTCTGCTCACCAGGTGGCTAGATACCGCCCACGTGCCCCCATCATTGCTGTGACACGGAATCCCCAGACAGCTCGTCAGGCTCACCTGTACCGTGGCATCTTCCCTGTGCTGTGTAAGGACCCCGTCCAGGAGGCCTGGGCCGAGGACGTGGACCTCCGGGTGAACTTGGCCATGAATGTTGGTATGTGGTTGGAGCAGCGGCTAGAGCCTGGTGGGGTTTGGGGCTGCTTGAGCATTGGCTTCTCTGGGACCCTGAAATTTGGGGAATAGAAAGGGGAATGTGCAGATCTTGGAGGGGCAAGAGGCCCAGCTGACTGCTCCTCTCCCTCATTGGGAATGTTTTCTGAATCTCTCATTTCCAGAAGTCCTAGGCTGAGCCCAGGAAGGAAAAGGGTCCTTTGAGTTGTAGGGCTGAGCAGTTAGTCCCTCTTCTTTTCTAGTCTAGGGCCCAAAGCAAAATTGTCCATTCTTTGGCATTTGCTCATTACTGAGAATTTTTGTTTTTAAATAAAATTGGCTAGAGCTCCTGCACTGTTGGTGGCATACAGATTATGTACTGATGTGGCCATTGTCCCCATGTAAGGTAGGGTATCATTGGATGACAGGAAACAGCTAGCCCTGACCTTGGGCTAGGCTTTGCACCCTCGAGGATAAAGTGTATGATGTCCAAAGGTCCTTGCCAACCCTACCATCTGAGTGATAAGGAAATTTCAGGGCTTCCCTCCTGTTTGCCTGGGCTGTGGGTTTGGCGCCACCTTGTGGTTTGAGGAAGTAGTGGTCAGCCAGCCGAGTTCAGTGCTCAGGTTTGGGGCAGCTGCCCACGTGCGGACCCTTCCTGGTTTGGCTTTTACTCACCAACCTCCCTTCTCTTCCTCCAGGCAAGGCCCGAGGCTTCTTCAAGAAGGGAGATGTGGTCATTGTGCTGACCGGGTGGCGCCCTGGCTCCGGCTTCACCAACACCATGCGTGTTGTTCCTGTGCCGTGATAGACCCCAGAGTCCCTCCTCCAGCCCCTGTCCCACCCCCTTTCCCCAACCCATCCATTAGGCCAGCAACGCTTGTAGAGCTCACTCTGGGCTGTAATGTGGCACTGATGGGCTGGGACACCAGAAAAGAAGATAAACGCCTTGCAGAAACATGGCTGTGTTTACAGCCTGCTCTGGTGGGACAGCCCAGACCCTGGCTGCCCATCATGTGGCCCCACCCAGTCAAAGGAAGAAGGAGGAATGCCGGACTGGAGGCCCCAGGAGCCAGATAGCAAGAGGGTGACAGCTTCCTTTTCTGTGTGTACTCTGTTCAGTTCCTTTAGAAAATGGATGCCCAGAGGACTCCCAACCCTGGTCTGGGGTCAGGAAACAGCCAGCGAGAGTTAGGGGCCTTAGCGCACAGAGCAGTTGTTCCATTTAAGCCAACTCTGGCCCTGGCCCTTATTGCTTCCCCAACCCCCTGGGCCTCCCCAGTTCACACCTGTCCCCACCCTCCACTCAGCTGTCCTGCGGCAAACACTCCACCTTCCATTTTCCCCCACTACAGCAGCGCCTCCAGGCTTGTTGCTATAGAGCCTACCTGTATGTCAATAAACAACAGCTGAAGCACCTGTTTCCTCTTTTCTTCTGGGGAGGGGGAGATGGTTGAACCCTGCCCTCTGAGCAGGCTGGAAATGGCTGCAGCCCCGTGCCCCACGGTGGGAGCTAGGTGGTGTCTCCTGCCATCCTGCCTGCCTTCGGGTACAGATGGCGCTGGGAAAGCAGTAGCTGACTCTCTTAGGGTTCTAGGTTGCCCCCTTCAGTGCTGTGGGGAGACCTTAATGGCTTATGTGAACCAGAGATGGGAAAGAGCAGGGACAAGGGCTTCTCCCTCCACTTTGGTCTCCCTGCAATAGCGATCCCTTACCGGGAGGAGTCTGCTCTAGATGCCTGAGACTGGGTTCTGCTCCCAGGTCCTCAGTTGTGGACCTAGGCTCGCCTTGGGACCCCTCCTGTTTGCTGGTGCCCTCCCACCATGATACTGCAGTGCCAAGGGGTTGGGGGAGAGTTGGAAATGGGACCAAATCTGGCCTGCGCCTTTTCCCTCTCCTAACCACACTCCCAAGGACCAAGAGACCTGGTGGGGTGGAAGAGGAAAGGGCCTGCAGGCCAGGAAAGTTGGGGAATAGGACCTTTGGGCCCTTTATCACTGCTCAGTTCAGCCCAGCTCATTGTGACACCCTGAGCTGTGCCTCTGCTTCCCCGCCTTTGATCTGTGTCCACCTTCAGTCCCTCCGTAGACTCCTTCAAAAGTGTATTTCCTTGGAGAGACTGTAATGTTAAAAACTCTGGCAAAAGTGCATGGAAGCATCCGGGCTCCCGGGCTCCCGGTGGTGACTTGCCTGTCAGACCGTGGTGTTCAATATCCTCTTTGGTATTCCCCACTAACGGTGAAATTGAAACGTAACCCTGGAGCTCGATGTTGGGAAGGACTGGGTTGGAGAGGGGCCGGAATCGTTTCCTGCAGAGGGACTCAAGTTCCAAAACTAGGAGGACAGAAGCGTCTAGCGCGACACGATACCCTCGACGTGAGGGACAGGAGGTGCCGCGCCAGGCCCTGGCCTCCAGGACCTTCCAGTTCGGGGGACCGAGCGCTGCAATCTGCGTAGAGCTGGGTGCCCCACCTGGGGAAGGTGGGGAAAGAGGGAAGCTCGGGAAGAAGGGGGAGGAACGGCCAATGGGCTGGGCCCGGCCCGCGAGAGCCGCCAATGGGCGAGCGGGGCGGGCTCTCGACGGGGCTGGCGGGGTCCGGCGGGCGCTGGGTCCCGGCGCGCGGTCGGGGGCGCGGGGTGCTGGCGCCGCGATGACCGCTCTGAGCCGGAGCGAGGCCACCGAGGCGGGCAGGTAAGGGATGGCGGCTCGGGGGCCGGGTTCGGGGCCCCGGAGGCAGCTGCGAGGGGCCGCTGCCGCGCGGAGCAGGGCGGCTCCTGGGGCCACGGCAACTGGGAGCGTTCTGCCCACGGGGCAGGCACTTCCCGGCCGCCGGAATGCGGGCTTCGGGCCAGAGCTGCGCCGCGCGCGCCCAGGCGCCTCCGGGAGCCCGTGAGGTGTTCGCGCCCGGATCTGGTGTCCCGGCTGAGTCTGCTGCGACCTGGGGGATGAGGGACGGTCCCGCCGGCGTCGGGGCAGGGGAGGGCACCCTCCTCGGGACGCCTCGCGCGGCCCATCTCCGCCCCGCCACTCTGTTCATCCTTTCATTTATTCATTCATCATTCGTTCCCTGCGATATCGACTCCCAGTCCTGATTGCCCCCGACCCAAAGGTTGGCCCTCCCTGCAGTCGCTGGAGGGTCGGACTCTTTTCTCTTGCCGCCGAATCCGCACTTGTAGCGGCCCGTAACTGCGGGGAGGCAGCTCAGAGCTGTCCCAGCACGACACGGCCTCACCCGGGCGCCAGGCCCATCCCGGTCGGGCGGGCTGGGCGGGTCTCCCGGTCCCGAGATCTGATCCAAGGTCGCCCTGGGAGGAAGGGATGAGGAGGCAGGGCAGACGGGAGATGGCGCTGCACGCGACATCCAGAATTGTGGCTTCTGCTCCTTGAGGTCTTGGGGTCCCGGGGATGACATTGTTTTGGGGAACCTGTCAATTTCTGCCCGGGTCCAGGTTCCAAGGTCGGGTACAGCCTGGCATCCCTGGCAAGCTACCACTGGGGTAGGTAGGTTGACGGTGGGAGCCTTGTCCCCAAATCAGCCGGGGACACACAGGGGTGTGGACCCCAGTGGGGCTCCCTCTGCCTTGTCTTCAGAGGGACTGGTGGGGCTCCACCCCTCTGTCATTTGTGCCTCTTTGCTCTGCTTGCTGCCCCCCACACCCACCCACTATGCTTGATTGTTTAAAGGTGCCTCTCCTTGCGGCGGCCAGGCTCCTAGGCAAGGAGAGAGGGTGCCCTGGCAACCTGTGCTGTCTTTGCCCCATGTCCACCTGTAGCCAGCTCTAAAGTCTGGCTCCTTTTCGAGCAAAGATTTATGGCTTTGCCGGGAGAGGTGGAATAGAGTGAGGGTGTCCATCCCATTCTTCACTGAGGAGTCAGTATGCCCCTTCCTTCCTTCCTTCTCTCCTTCCTTCCTTCCTCTCTTCTTTCTTTCTCTCTCTCTCTTTTCCTTCTTTCTTTCTTT